GGAGTCTGCCTCTCCCTCTCCCTCTGTTCTCCTGCTTGTACTCTCTGTCATTCTCTCATATTAGTAAATAAAAAATCTTTAAAAAAAATCTTTTTAAAGAAAGAGTTAAAGCAGCTGTTTAAAAGAAAAGATACATGGAAGAGAACATTGTATAGTTGTAATTTACCAAAGCAATGACACAGACTCCGAAAAAACTGAAATAACTATATAGTTCTTTAGGCTTCTTGTTCTGAATCACTGATTAATGATAAATATCTCTAAAAATGATGTTTACTAAAGGAAAAGAGACAATAAAAGTAAAATAGTCATATAATATCAGAAAAAGTATGAAAAGCAGGTGTCAATGGAGTAACATTTCAAATCTGCTTTACCTTGCTTAGCATGGGGCATTTGTTCAATACAATTTAGCTAGAGAGGTGTGTATCACCTAGATATGTGTATGAGTTATACACTGAATACATACATATGTTCTCTCTCACACAATTCTCTCTCTTGTGTGCTCGTGCTTACTTTCATAAACACACACACACACACACACCCATAAAATTTTTCCCATTCTATTAAAGAGAAAATAAAGGCAACGGAAGCTATATCAATCCTGTAAGAAACAGTAAGACATTTTTATATAGTTTCCCCAAATAAGTTAAAGTGTACCCCACTGAGATACTGGGGGGAAAAAACAGATTTATTCTAAATGAGTTCTAGATTGTTCATTTGACTTGATTTTCTGTTGAAAAGCAGACAAAATGTTTTCCTAACATGACTGTAAAAGGAGAATACTTCTACTTCTACAAACAAAAGTAAGCAAGGTAGGGAAATGAATCAACTGAGAATTACTATTATTTCCTGGACTGTCATCAGTTCTGGGAGACATCTTAGGAGACTTCCCTCAATACCAGCACACTCTGCCGAAAGAGATCACCTTACATTTCATTAAAAATAGTAAAGTCTTTATGTTTTGCTAATTTAAAATATCAATTTTTTCTTTCAATCATGTAATCTGAATATTTTTTCCAAGCTGAAATACTAATTTGGGATTTGTAAAGCCACATTTGGTTATAAACATCCAACATAGTTAAGATCCTTCATGAAAGTCCTTTTTACATCCATGAATCACATAAAAATAAACTTTAAGTGCACAGGTTAACAAACAGAACTTGTATACTTTATATGCTTTTAAAGCAAAGGAGTCTCACAAAGAGAAATATATGGATTAAAAAAAACTTTTTCACTTCATTCTCTATGTCAGATTGAATGTATTTCATTCAATGTCCACAAAAATCACTTAGCTTCTTTAGATAGTGTGAAAACAGGATGGCACAGAACCCGTTTTAATTAAAACTTACACTTTATCTCCCTTTCTGATATTTCCTACCCATTTCTTCTCCCGTCCCCTCTATTCCAGAACATGGAAGACTCCTAACTCTGGGAAACGAACTAGGGGTGGTAGAAGGGGAGGAGGGCGGGGAGTGGGGGTGACTGGGTGACGGGCACTGAGGGGGGCACTTGACGGGATGAGCACTGGGTGTTATTCTGTATGTTGGCAAATTGAACACCAATAAAAAACAAATTTATTATTTAAAAAAACTTATACTTTATTATTTCTCTAGCAATGTACAAAAAATTAAATTTTGGAACATATTTATACTACCACCTATTTGTTGTGACTTCTAAGATGATAAAAGAGAAAAAAAATAAAACAATAAAATAGCTCTTTTTATGAAGTCTCAAAAAAACAAGAAAAATTTCCTGGTAAAATTACAATAAAAACACAAAACAATAAACCTTTCTTGTTGGACAGCTACCTATTATGTTTAACAGGCTTAAACAAAATGTGTTAAAGGTCAAGAGTAAGTCATCTGATATGTCAAGTGCATAAGGTCAAAGGTACAATTTTATTAGGTCAGAGTTGGTATAAATAAAATCTTACATGTCAAAGAGGAAGAGTCACAGACAAGGTGTATATAACATAAAGACATCACAGATGACAAGTAATAACTTTAAGTAGAACAAGTATGTTTACTATAGATACCTCCACTGATGAAAAATGAAACTTCCATATGAGTAAATATAAAATTGCTTTACAATATCACATAACTCATATGCTATATTGCATGCTTGTCTTCAGGAAGAAAGGGCAATAATCAAGAATAACTACGTTGTGAAAACTTAAAGAAAATTTAATTCTTTTGAGCTTAAATAGTATACAAAATGAAAACATCAACCAAATCTCAAATCACAACAGCTAAATAAGAGGCTATGTATGCTATAATAGCTACAAAAGTTGGATAATAGTCCACATTATTTTCTTCCAAATCACATGAACTAAATAATACTTTCCTTCTCAACTTTCTTTGTTGAAGTAAAACACACAAAATTTAGATTTAAATATACATAATAGCAATACTCCAGAAAATGTTTAAACAATTTGTTGTAAATTAAATAATATAGTTTTTAATTAAGAGAAATTAATTAGAAATAATTTTTATGGGCAGCCCCAGTGGCTCAGTGGTTTAGCGCAGACTTCAGCCCAGGGCGTGATCCTGGAGACCCAGGATCGAGTCCCATGTCAGGCTCCCTGCATAGAGCCTGCTTCTCCCTCTGCCTGTGTCTCTGCCTCTCTCTCTCTCTCTCTCTGAATAAATAAATAAAATCTAAAAAAAATTAAGAAATAATTTTTATAAATGGAAGAATTTCATTTGTAATGGAATAATTAAACTCTAATTAATGAAAGCAATTTAAAAGTTTTTTTCAAAGTGGCATTCACATACACATGACACTAGTCCTAAACAGCAAACTTAGATATGAATGGGGGTAATTATATGAATGATTCAAGTAAAAAAAACAATCTTTAATTATTCAGTCTTAAAATATCCATACAATTTAAGTAAAGGACAAATATTATTTGAGGTAAACTAAATACATGATTAATAACATGATTAATAACATGTTTTATTAAAGCTATTCTATACAACCTTTCAGTTCAACTCAGCTCAGTAAGTTTTTATTAAATATCTTACAAAATGTCAGGCATTATATCAAACAATAGATATACAGGAATTAAATATTAGGAGACTTCCAATTCCAGCCACAATGAACTAGCTTATCCTGGACTTATTTTCCAACTCAAAACGTTGCACAAAGAATACAAAATGTCAATTTGAAGGCATTAAATAGCAGAGACAGCCAGGACTTGAGAGCCCATGATCCCTGAAAGAAAGGAAGCACATGAGGTGAGCTCCACACTCACTCTAAATTTTTCTTTAAGGGCTTATGTTGATTTTTGGCTTGGTAGAACACTGTAAGATGAAAATAGCATCCTCACTGAGCTGAATTAACAACAGAACCTGGTAGAGCTGACAAAGTGATTGGAACTTGAGAGGCAAAATCCTCAAAAAGAGGAAATCATAGGGAAGCAAGCCCAAATAACTATGTAATTTCAAGCATTTGGTCATGTCCAGAAATTCAGGAAAAACAGTAGCTTCAGGACTCCTACCTTGCTAGGATTTATTGATTTATTAAGAAGCAACCAAAGAACTACCTGTGCTTCTTGACAGCATTCAATCCAGACCAAAGCCTCCAAGTCCTTGAACTCTCTGCTCCCCAACCAATCACCTAGCACAAGCCCACACATCCTATAGTAGGTCCTTTCTAACACCTTATTGAGAATCTCCATATATCCCATAGTATGCAATTTCCATTCTTCTATTAAATGAATAAAACCCAATTTTATTCAACTACAGATATGTTCCTGATGGTCTTTGCCTGGAAAGCACTGACAAAAAGCTAAGAAAAAGAATCAACTATAGCTTCACATAAACATTAAACATCAATCTCATAGAGTTAGGGTTGATGAAAGAAGCCAGACACAAAAAGTACATACTGAGTGATACCATTTAAGTAACTTTCCAGAACAAACAAGACTAACTGATGGCACTATAGTCAGAGGCTAGTTACTTTAAAAAAAAAAAGATTTTATTTATTTATTCATGAGAGACACACAGAAAGAGAGAGAGAGGCAGAGACACAAGCAGAGGGAGAAGCAGGCTCCATGCCAGGAGCCCGATGTGGGACTCGATCCCAAGTCTCCAGGCTCACGTCCTGGGCCAAAGGCAGGTGCTAAACTGCTGAGCCACCCAGGGATCCCCGACTAGTTACCTTTTGCGGACATGTCTGAGACAGAGCAAGAGAAGGGCCTTCTGTGGTACAAGAAAGGATCTTTATCTTCATGTGAGTGAAACATGTAAAAATTAATTAAGCTATATACTTGAAATTATAAACAGAAATAGCATATTCATAGATTAACAATGTCATTCATGTCCAGATAATAGTCTAATGTAATATATAAAAATATTCATACAAATCTAAAATTGCATTGTCAACAATTATAAGATTAAATAATACATTTCCAAAAACTTCTAAATACTGTGCTCATATAAAGGTATCTATATATATATGACATTTATATTGAACTATTTTCTAAGAAATGTAGAGCATCACTAAACAATTCTTTCTTACATTATTAAAATATCAAAATACGATAACGTTTTTTACATTAAAATATATGAATAACAGTATTAAATTCTTATTTCTATGTTTCTTGTTAAAATGTATACTAAAATGACACAGGGATCCCTGGGTGGCGCAGCAGTTTGGCGCCTGCCTTTGGCCCAGGGCGCGATCCTGGAGACCCGGGATCGAATCCCACATCGGGCTCCCGGTGCATGTAGCCTGCTTCTCCCTCTGCCTGTGTCTCTGCCTCTCTCTCTCTCTGTGTGACTATCATAAATAAATAAAAATTTAAAAAAAAAATAAAAATAAAAAAAAAATAAAATAAAATGACACAAATATAAACTAAAATGTATACTAAAATGACACATATTTTAAGTTATTAAATGATATAGTTTTAAACAATCACATGAAAATGCAATTCTTTATGATAAAAAAGAGCATACTAGACAATCAACAAATATGTGTAAATGAATAAAAGTAAAGCTTACCACTTCTTCATCTGAAAGTTCACGCCCTTGGATGCTGCTATTCTCTCTCACAGCTTGCTGGTGTTTTTTTCCTTTAATATGACTAAAAAGATACACCTCTGAAGAGATCTAAAGGCATAAAATCGAAGCAATTATAATAAACATAATTATGTCTGATTATAAATATTATATAGTCTAAGCCAGCATACTACATGAAAATTGAGATCACTCAAGTCTTTTCATACTAGGCTTAAAAATAATTTCTTAAAAAAAATAATAATTTCTTTAAGACATCAATCTGAGGGACGCCTGAGTGTCTCAGTGGTTGAGTGTCTGCCTTTGGCTCAGAGCATGATCCCGGGGTCCTGGGATTGAGTCCCGCACCGGGGTCCCCTCAAAGAGCCTGCTTCTCCCTCTGCCTGTATCTCTGCCTCTCTCTCTCTGTGTTTCTCATGAGTAAATAAATAAAATATTTATAAATAAATAAATAAAACATAAATCTGAGAATCCTCTAGAAGATACATAGTCAAAAAAACCCATGCCTTCACAGCCAACCTTAACTGGGTATCATTTCTTCTACGTATCAAGATTCAAGTTTCAGCACTAAAAATGCTCTTTTTTTTTTTTTTTTTTTTTTTTTTTTTTTTTTGATCCCAGTACCCAAAAACATTGCTTGGGCTAACAATTAAGCAGGTATATATCCATTTCAGCAGCAACTGGTAGCATCAGCACTTTGCTATGCTACTCCTAAATGCCACTACTACTTTTATAGTACTTTGTATAAAAATCATAACAGAAATCCATAGTACTCAGCATATGCTTTAGTGTGAATTTTAAAAGACTGTTAGAATATATTTCCAGGGATCCCTGGGTGGCGCAGCGGTTTGGCGCCTGCCTTTGGCCCAGAGTGCGATCCTGGAGACCCGGGATCGAATCCCACATCGGGCTCCCGGTGCATGGAGCCTGCTTCTCCCTCTGCCTGTGTCTCTGCCTCTCTCTCTCTCTCTGTGACTATCATAAATAAATAAAAAAAATTAAAAAAAAAGAATATATTTCCATAGTATAATAAACTTTAGTAATAAATTCTAACATCACAATGCTAATAACAACAACCTACCAAGACATTGCAGAGAGAACACTGCTTCTTTCTTTCATAAGGGGTCAGTTTGGGGGCATAATCAGTATTTGCATGCCGCCCACTGCTTAACTCAGCAGCTTTTTCTTTTCTTTGTTCAATCTGTTCCATGTGCCTTCGAATGCTTTCATCATGCTGTGAAGGAAGTCAAAGTGTGAGAATATCAAAAACTATTCAAATTATATTGAGAACTTGAGAACAGAGAACTTGAGAACACAGGATTTCCATTAAACTTTCTAAAATTAAAGAATGTTTTAATGCAGTGTTAACCTGAACACTAAGAACAAGAATTTACATAAAGCTCTTTAATATCTGCTGCATGCACAGTAATGTCTCTTAAAGTGTACTTTCTAGACCTAAACCATGGGATATTATTCAGTGTTTTGTGGAAAAGGTTCTATCATCAAATAATTTTGAAAAACACTAAATTAAATAGATTTTTAATATAGCACTCTTTGGAGCCTCTAGTAGTTTCTGCACTCTATGACTCAATAAACCTAGTTTATACTAAGCCAATAAACCTAGTTTATACTAAGCCACATTTACACACTTATTTGACTACAATAAACTTTTGAGAAGCATTTCGGGGAACACACTATGAGAAATGCTGACCCATATGTGAAGAACAAGCTTATCCTCCTAGCAGACAAACCCTATCATGATACAGACCTCTACCTACACCAACTCCACACCATACCATTTCTAGTTGTTCTACACTTCCAGTGACTTTCCCCAAAACAACAAAAGAAAAACAAGACTGAAAAAAACACAATTCCAGACTTCTGATTTCATGTTTATACTTTTTCATATGACTGGAAAATTCATCCCACCAACTTACCTATCCTCCTATCCATTGAACTTATCTCTCTTCCAACTCAGGAGTTATTCTCTAAAATGCTTCCCTTGACTTTTAGAACCCTTCATGTTAGACTAAGGGTTCTCATCTGTACTTCCACAGCACTCCAAGTATACCTCTATCCATATGAAAAGTATCAGCATCTGAATCTCACACTAGATTAACGATTTCTTGAAACTCAGGATCATGCCTTACTCATCTCTATACCCCATGCCTACCACAAAGCTCAATAATTTTTGCTGCATTAAATTTAAATGAACGATAAAAGTTGTAAGACTATACAAACAATAAAATATGGTCTTCTATTTGATGGAATTTACTATCTCTGTGAGGAGCCAATGTGGAAATAACTGTTACACAGTGTGAAATACACTGCTAGAAACTGCATTACTAATGCTAAAGATTTTCTAGAAAATAGCAGTTTATCATAATTTCCCAAGTTACAATTGCACAATTCACAAGCAATGAAAAGCAAAACTAATTATACTAATCATCTTGTAGTTAATTTGTAAATAATTAAAAGTATGAATATTAGAAGCTAAACAGTAATGCCTTCAAGTCACTGACAAATTGGTTATTAATAAAACAAGAAATGTTAAAATTCCTTTAATTACTCTCCAGACTGTTTTAGCTTATTAAAATAAATTTAGTTTTTAGATAGCTGAGTTAGATGTGATCATAACCAAATCATGTAAGTTCTATTACCCAAATATTACAAATACAAATTAATTAAAATTTTTACACAATTCCATAAATAAAAAACTAATCTTATGCTCCACTGAAAGTTCTAGAATAATATCCTTACCTTGAGCTGAATCTTTTTCTGCAGCTCTTCCATTGCTTCTTGTTGAGCAGCTGTAAGTGCGGCCAATCTTTCTTCCCTATCTCTGTAAGAATATAGTAAAAAATTATAAACTCAACAGCTTGGAGTAACAAATTTCATGAGATTAAAAAATATAATTGGGATACAAAGACTTATATATTCTAAAGGGTTAATATTTTTGTCAGGAGAAACCTGACAAACACAGTCTTAGCCAGGGGATAAAGATTACTAAAATTATTCTTTTCTGAGTGCCTAAGTCCCAAATATATGTTCAATAATGTTTAATAAACAATACAAATTCTTAGTTGTAAAAATATATTTCTGGACCCAGATCAGGTATGGGTTGGAATACTACCTCTGGAGCTCTGATTTAAACATGGCATGTTGAAAACATATTTATATCTGTTGCCTTCCAAAAAGCCACTAAAACCACAAGAAATAAGTAGAAAAGGCATAAAATCACAAAGGCAAAAATAACAGCAAAGGAAATAATCACAAATTATGAAACATACAAAGAAATATGACCAGGCTTAGAAAAAAGCAGTCAACTGAAACTGTCTCTGAAGGAGGCCATATGCTGTATTTAGTAGACAAAGACTACAAAACAGCTGTTACAAAGATGTTCAAAAAAATTAAAAGAAAGTATGCCAAACTAAAGAAAAATATGATGGCAATGATTCAACAAATAGAGAACCTCAACAGAGAAACAGTAAGTTTAAAAAAAAGAAAACTTTCCAATAAAAGGAACCAAGAATACTTGAACAGATGGCTGATGCTAGAAGTTGAGTAGAGAAAACATAAGATGATTATGGAGGATCTTACAGTGCCAGAAGAGCAAGAAAGTGCTCAAAAAACAAAATAATGAAATATGTCGAAGGGACACAGGGGTCAAATGAAAGAGCTTCCAATATCCAAAGTTGGAACAATTTGAGTAATAAGATAAATAACATAATATTGGTTTATAACACAATGTATAAAATAAATATAAGTCCACACTGACAGTAAAAAAGGCATTTAATAAATAAGTAGGGGAGAAAAGACAAATGTCCTTTAGAGAAGAATTGCAAATAATTTACATAGGAATTCTACTCTCAAGGAAGTAATTCCCCACTTTTCCAGCATTGGCTATTGCTTCTAAGGAGGACAGCATAGAGAAAATTTTAAAGAAACTATACAATGGAGAAACCTGACAAAAAAACACAATCTTAGTGGATAAAGATTACTAAAATGAGTGATAAGTCTAATAGACAGCATGAATCTTTGACATGTTACAAATGGTAATTCATAGTCACCTCTGTGCTCTTCCTCCAAAAAAGCTATAACATCAATCTAACCAGGAGAAGAACACCAGACAAGTCCTACCTGACGGACATTCTACAATACACTTGACCACTACTCAAAACCGTCAAGGTCATTAAAACCATGGAAAGTTTGAGAAAATGTGACAAATCAGAGATGCCTGCAGAGAAATAACAATTAAATATCTGAACAAATACAAATAATAACTAAATACTTCCCGAACGTGATTATATACAGAACTAAATAATCATGAAGAGAACCAACTACAAATCATAATCAAACAGGTTACAGACACACAGAAAATTCTGAGAGCAGGAAGGAAAAAAACAATTCACCTTATACAGAGGAAAACCAATATGATTAATGGCTAACTTTTACATCAGAAAAAAAAAAAAAACAGGGGGATCCCTGGGTGGCGCAGTGGTTTGGCGCCTGCCTTTGGCCCAGGGCGCGATCCTGGAGACCCGAGATCGAATCCCACATTGGGCTCCCGGTGCATGGAGCCTGCTTCTCCCTCTGCCTGTGTCTCTGCCTCTCTCTCTCTCTCTGTGACTATCATAAATAAAAAATAATAATAATAATAAAAAATAAAAAAAAGAAAAAAAAACAGAAGTAAAAAGATTCTAAGTACTGAAAACAAAAAAGAATAAAACCAAGAACTCTGTAACCAACAAAACCTCATTCAAAATGAAGGAAAATGTTAAATATACTTCAATAACAAAAATTTTAAAACCAGACGATCCACTGGAAGAAAGACACTCTCTTCAATAAATGGTGCTGGGAAAATTGGACATCCACATGCAGAAGAATGAAACTGGACCACTCTCTTGCACCATACACAAAGATAAACTCAAAATAGATGAAAGATCTAAATGTGAGACAAGATTCCATCAAAATCCCAGAGGAGAACTCAGGCAACACCCTTTTTGAACTTGGCCACAGTAACCGGAGAAGGACAAACAGTGTATGTTCTCATTCATTTGGGGAATATGAATAATAGTGAAAGGGAATATAAGGGAAGGGAGAAGAAATGTGTGAGAAATATCAGAAAGGGAGACAGAACATAAAGACTTCTAACTCTGGGAAATGAACTAGGGGTGGTGGAGGGGGAGGAGGGCGGGGGGTGGGGGTGAATGGGTGACGGGCACTGAGGGGGACACTTGACTGGATGAGCACTGGGTGTTATTCTGTATGTTGGTAAATTGAACACCAATAAAAATTAATTTATAAAATTAAAAAAAAATTTTAAAACCAAAAACAAAATGAAGGCAAGGTATTCCCAGATATGCAAATAGCATAATTCAATGACAGCAAAATTCCCGTACAAGAAATAGTGAAAAAAGCCCATCTAGCTAAAAAGCAATGATACCAAAAAGTAACCTGAATCCACAAAAAAAAATGAAGTACACTAGAAATGGTAAATATGTTAATAAGTATAAAGGAACATAAAAATATATTTTCTCTTTTATTCCAATTTCTTTGAAAAATGTGGCACTACATAAGGAGATAATTATAACATTGAATTGTTGAGTTTATTACATATATAGATTAATACATGTGACAATAATAACATGAAGAAAAGGCTATAAAGCTATAATGGAACAAAGTTGCTCTATAATTAAGTTAGTTTTAATCAAAAGTAGATTGTCCTAAGATGAATATTGTAATAAAGAGAGCAACCACTAAGTAAAACAACTAAAATAATAGTTTTAAAAATCAAAAGAAAGGGGTGCCTGGGTGGCTCAGTTGGTTAAACATCCAACTCTTGATTTTGGCTTAGGTCATGACCTCAGGCTCCTGGGATCAAGCCCCAGGTCAGGCTCCCTACTCAGTGGACAATCTGCTTCTCTCCCTCTCTCTCCCTCCTTCTGCTTGTTCTCTCTCTCTCTCCTCAAATAAATAAACAAATCTTTTTTAAAAATCAAGCGAAAAATTTGGGATCCCTGGGTGGCGCAGCGGTTTGGCGCCTGCCTTTGGCCCAGGGCGCGATCCTGGAGACCCGGGATCGAATCCCACATCGGGCTCCCGGTGCATGGAGCCTGCTTCTCCTTCTGCCTGTGTCTCTGCCTCTCTCTCTCTCTCTCTCTCTGTGAGTATCATAAATAAATAAATAAATAAATAAATAAATAAATAAATAAATAAATAAATAAATAAATAAATAATAATCAAGCGAAAAATTTAAATGATGCACTAAAAAGTATTAACAAAAAAGGCAGCAGTAAGAGAGAACAAAAAACCCTTGAGATGTCTAGAAAACAAGTATCAAAATAGAAGACATAAATGCAATCATCTCAATAATTATACTCCATAAGAATGGACTAAACACTTTAAAGGGCAGAAATTAGATTGAAAAGGAAACCTCAAATATATTTAATCTACAAAGGACACAGTTTAGATAAAAAGATGCAAAAGGGTGAAAGTAGAAGGGCAGAAAATGTCATATCATGTAAACAATAATCATGGTTATATTTAAAACAGAAAAAAAGTCTACTTTAAGGCAAGAAACATTTTTTTAAATGTCAAAGCAGAACATTTCATAATGATGAAAGAAAGGGTCAATAACCCAGGAAGATATTATATGCCCCTAACAGTGCGGCACCAAAAAGCAAAAAATTGTCAAAACTGAAAATATAAATAAACAATTCAACAATATTTGGGAATTTCAATAACCATCTATTAAAAATTAATAGAAGAAAACAGAAAATCAGCAAGTATACAGAAGTCTAGATAAAACCATCAATTAACTGACATTTAAAGAACACTCCATCAAAGAACAGACTACAAATACTTTACAAGAGCATGTTGGACCTTTATCTAGGATAGTCTATACCCAAGGCCATAAAATGAGTTCCAATGAACCTAAAGGAAATAAAATTACACAAAGTATATTCTTTGACTACAAGAGATTCAATTAGAAATAACAGAAAAAAAAAAGAAATAACAGAAGACTGGGGATATTCCCAAGTTATTTGGACTCTGAGCAACATGATTCTAAATAACTCACGGACCAAAAAAAGTCATAAAAAATATTAGAAAATATCTTTGAGTGAAATGAAAACACAATATATAAAAATTGATGGGATGAAGTTAAAGTTCTAAAAAAAATTATAACCTTAAATATTTATTTATTTTTAAAGATTTTATTTATTTATTCATGACAGACATAGAGAGGCAGAGAGACAGGCAGAGGGAGAAGCAGGCTCCACGCAGGGAGCCCGACGCGGGACTCGATCCCGGGACTCCAGGATCACGCCCTGGGCCAAAGGCAGGCGCCAAACCACTAAGCCACCCAGGGATCCCCCCCTTAAATATTTATATTAGAAATGCAGAAATATCTAAAATATATCAACTGAAGTTTCAACCTCATAAAAGTAAGAAAGGCAGAGTTCATGAAATCCAAAGAAAAGAAATGATAAATATCTAAGTGGAAAATAATGAAATAGAGAACAGAAATAGAAAAACTCAATGAAACAAAAAGTTAGTTCTTTGGAAAAATCAACAATATGTATAAACCTTTAGCCAGACTAATAAAAAAAAGTAGTAAGATGAGACACAAATCACCAAAATTAGGAATGAAAGACAGATAACAGTATAGCTCATACTGAAATTAAATCCTTATAAGAAACAATGAACTTTGTAAAAATAAATAACTTAGATGGAAAGGTCACATTCCTAGTAAGATACCAATTATGAAAGCTGACTGAATAAGAAACAGAAAAATCCGAATAGACCAATAACATGTTAAATGGAAGACGGTTATTAAGG